ATTATTTGAGTCCAGAAATTACCTATCCTTTGATGCATTAATGACCTCAGGCAAGAGCTTTGAACAAGTGATATCTGAGCCCATAACAGGGGCAAGTAAAGAAATAGCATGTAGAATGGTCATCCGATACAGATAATGTGAATTGTTAATCATATCTAAAACCTGTTAAGACATTCAAAGTTGTAAGTGCGAAATCAAACGAATTGGAGTTTACTCATAGGGATCCCCCTTTATCAATAATCATTGGTCAAATTGCACAATGAAGAAAACTCAAGGACTAGCTTTATATAAAGGCATTGAAATCAGCCAGCTTAAATGTACAATTAGACTAAGGATGTTAGCTCCATCAGGAGAAAGAAATAGCATCTGGACTGAAAACACCATCATTTTGGGAATCAAGACCCTAAAATCATCAATGTTATTTACATTGTAGAAGGTACTACTCATGGTAAATTATAGGCTAACAAACTTACCTGTGGAACTATGTGTTGCATTGCCCACTCTGGGCCAAATTCTTCTGCAAGGCGCTTCACATTATTAGCAGCCGCTTCACGAATTGAGTAAACCTGCAACATTTCCCAAGAGAAATTAAGAAAACAGAAAGCTCGAAACTATAATATCAAATATTGATCACAGTAGTAACAGGGTTTAATAATTAAATTTATATCTCAGTGCTCCTAAAATCTGACAATAAACCCCGCCAAACCAGATAACTTATTCCTCCTTAAGTTCCGAATAATGCACATGCCTTTTGATGCTTAGCTTTGGGCAAATCCTATGATTTCAAAGTAATTAACAAGTTTCCACTGACAAAAGCCAGGATACACTGTGAATCTTTGTTCATTCAACTCCTAAGAAGAAGAAAAGCAAACGAAAAAAATTAAAATTTCTAGGGATTCAAATCAAGAAAGTTTTATCTCTAAGGAGGAAGAAATAGGGGCAAGATAATAAAAAGATACTCTATAGCTTGAGATGCTTCAGATATATATATATATATTTTAAATAAGAGATGCTTCAGATGTACATTACTAAAAATGAAACAGCTTCTCTAACCTTATCTTTCAACCACTGCATGCAAAGAGCCCCGAGCTTATCATCAAAGAAGCCAACACCCAATTGACTAGCCAGTAGAGGGATGTATTCTATTATTGCTAGCCGAACCCTCCAGTGTCTATCCTCAGCAAGTTCAACAATTGCTGGCAGTAGGGACTGAGACAGCAAATCAATTCCAATTACCTGGTTGACTTGATCAAGCTTACTGATAATATTCAGTCGCACATCAGGAAACTCATCCTTCAGAAGTGAGAGGAAAATGGGCAGCAATTGTTCAATGGTGGCATCCTGCACCCAATAAAGGAACGTACATAAAATAACAAAAAAAAACCAAGAAAGCATTTCCCCAAAGGAAAACGTAGTTAATCGCAAAAAAAAAAAAAAAAAAAAGACATGCTCGATAATTAAAAGGCCACAAAGCAACAGATCCTGAAGAACCATCCCCCCGAATCAATGGTGTCAAGTATGAAGACAAAAATGATCAAAACATTAAAGCATGTCAACTACAGTGGAGCAAACTATAGATGCTGTTTTCTTTTCTCTATTTCACTTGCTTTTTTTGGATGGACATGACACTTTTCTATCTAAAACACATTACTCTCTTCGGACTCCATTGACAATATCCACGGAGGCAATGTTATGAAGCACCCTAGTTACTACACTTGAAAGAAGCCATATCAATAACTAATCAATAAATGAACTTAAGGCTCATGTCAACAGGAAAAGAACATAGAAATAGTGATCAGGAAACTATCGGCGGCTAATAACTGTCACATAAAATCAACAAAAGCTAAATGAGACTAAAAAACACAACAAAATAAGTAATGGGAAGGATATCTAACCTCTAAAAACCAAAAAGCTGTCACAGATCAATTCAAATTTTCATACTAAGCTAACATACATTACCTAACTGATGCCAAGTCGATCCCTATATTTGTCTTTGCGGAAATTCATATGAAAACCCAAACTTTCATTTAATTTGGAGTAGACACCTCCACAGAAAGTGTTCTTACCTTCCCTAAAACTGGTGCCATTCCCATTATAACTGAAGCCAAAGCAGATCGAACATGCTGGGAGGAATCAGTTGACAAGTCCTACAGTAAGCAAATTTAGGCATGCTACCATCATTAACAAAGAATCATATCTAACAGCATGCACAGAAGTAATTTGGCAAGCGCATAGCATGAACTTAGCTCTCCATGCCTTAAATAAAGAAGATTGACAGTTTCATAAGCACTCATACTTTCACACAAGGAAGAATATGCTGGATGGCAAGTTCTGGATTCAATATTCGGCAAAACTTGGTCACTTTGCCAGCAGCAGCTATACGCACTTCGGCTTCATTATCACGAAGTAGCCGAACATAAGCAGGAACAAGATCTGACCTAAAAAATGTCAATAATACAGTAACTATGAGATTATACTTTTCTTTAGACGGACTATGAAGTTATACTCTAGAAAAAATTCCAGATACCAAATTTACATATTTGGAACAATGTTGCTAAGATTTGCCATTTTTGGTTGCAGACTCAAGTTGAGACTCCAACACTCTCCTATCCTGAGAAATGCATGCTCAGCCCAAAGAAACGAGATAGTGTTGCTGAAATCAGTTTATTCTGTCTTAGTGAAATCCAATTTTTCTTTAAACTCATGTTTTTTGGAGTAGAACTGTAGCTACAGAAGTTGAGAGAAAGTGATATCTGGTGCTTCTCTTCTTAGTACCTATTGTGGGTTTGCCATGAACAGACATGTGACTAGAGAAGTTGAAATAGGCAACATCCCTCTACTACAAACATTTGACAGCTATTGTTGTATCACCAACAGTAGCGACAGAACTGATTAATTAAAAGAAACAATAGCTGATAAGTGAGATCCACGAGAGAATGGTTGTTCACATGTAGGTCCCTAATGTTTTCCATTTTTTCCTGGGGCAGCACTTTGGTGGTGCAACTATTGGTGATTGTACTTGTTACCCTAGATCCAAAGTAGACCCTTTCGGGCTACAGTGGTTTGTCCAAGTATTGAATTTATATTTGTGGGATGTGTTACTCGACCGCAGGGAGAGGGACAGGAAAGCTTTTAAAGAGCATTCTTCTCTTGGCTGACTTCTCCTCATCTAGAATGAGTTGGCAAACTTCTCTACTGCTATTCATATTTAAAGAGTCCATAACGGATGCACACTGACTGCTTATCTCATTTACAACTGTTCCATGTAATCATAACATACTACTTTATGTGTATATATATAAAACATATCAACACAGCAGTAGCTAACTATTTAACTACTATGCATTACCCTTTTCTCTTCAACTTAGAAATTATAAGGATTCAGATGCTTAGATACTTGCCCATGCCCAACAGTTACATCAGAGTCCAAGCCTCATAAATATTCAAAATCATCTCCTTTACATGACTGCAAAGTGCAACACAACAGTTCCACAAGAAATAGTTCAATTACCTTGTAGGCTCTGGACCAACAGCTTCACACAGCTCATATAATTGATTTGCAACCATGTAGCGTACACGCCAAGACTTATCCTGGTGGGGAAAAGGTAACTATGTCATGCCTGATTGCCAAATCATAGAATCACAATTTTCCATGCCCACGTACAAATTAATAAAGTAATAAAGGAATGGAGAAAAACAATAACAATGGCACTACTAAAACATATATTTCTCATGAAATTCATCTCATATGTTATTGGCCAAAACCTTCTATGTAAGAGCACCAAACAAATGATCACATAGTTTATGTACTTACGGGGAAAAAGAAGAGAAGCCCCGGAAATGATGCCTTAAAGTAAATGCCATGTCCCCCAACTCCAAGTCGGATCAGGGAGAACAACCTGACCCAAACAGGCATCACTTCACAGGGATCACTTTCCATTGTGGGACTAACAGAAAGAGGAAGAAAAAAAGAACTGGTCCAGGCTGTCTTTCCAGTTTAGTAGTTTCCTTAATAGTTTGATTTACTTAGGACTTTGGAGTACAATAGAAATAGTGGTTAGAAGTTATTTTAATATTTAATTTAATTAAGATTTAAGAATAAAAAAAGGGAATTATTATCATTAGGAAATGTTATTTAGGACATTATCACATATGTTAAAGTAGAAAATTATCTAGGAAGTTATTGCATCACCCAAAATAGGAAAGCATGTACATTTTCCCTATTAATATGCAAGCGCTCTGAATGAATAAAATTATCAGATAATTATTATTAGATAGGTTGTAGAGTATCTTACCTCTAAAGAGAGGGGATTCTCTCTAATGAGCCCACTCACAATTCAATTCCAGACTCAGGACCATATCAGTTAACCTTCAGGCTGCAATTTCTCAATATTAACCCTCCATTTCACAGGGAATAGCTAATGTTTTGCCAGTTGTAAACCCTCTGAGAGACACTAGAACCTAAGCTCGGGAATTACTAAGCTACAGCTGATAAACCCTGATCCTAAACAATCATAAACAAGCATATTAACTACAGCTCAATGTTAGCATAGCACGTATAACATATTCATGATCAGTGTCATGAGATTGCAGCACCTGCTGCAGTCAATTCAGCCTTATTGACTGCCTTACTTAAAATTCCTAACGCAAAGACCCTAAGAAAATAAAAACATAAAACCACTTAATGCTTTCTATGACTACCGTGTAAAACTGTCCTTGGACCAATTATACGCATTAGCTTCTGAAGTTGATAAGACAGATCCTCTGGAAACATACATGGCTATCACATCAAAATGCTGACAGTTAAATTTCTAACACTGGTATTTAACATAAATTACCTGTGAGAAATTAACTATGACAGGGAGAATATGGGCGATACAATCGTGAGGTTCCAACAATTTTCCAAGAGCTGCACAGCCCTCTACAGCTAATAATCGAACAGAATCTTGATCTGAAAGGAAACCAAAGAACATATATGCTTAATAATCTATGACAACAAATGTAATGACAACTTAAAATGTAACTTGAATTTATAAAAGTGAACTATCGAAACATCATGGGTGTTTTGCTAACCATTTATATGCATTACAATGAAAATAAATCTAATTAGCTATATTGACCTAAACAATCATATACAAAAGCTTATTCTAATTGTAAGCAACAGCTTTGATTAGCAAACTACCAACTAAACGCCAAGTAACAGTTACCCATGACCTTGTTTTCACAAGCAATGAAAAAGAAGTTCCAGTGGCAAATGTCAGCAACCACAAAAACATTGAAATTTTTTCCCTCCATTTCTTAAAACATCTTATGCTCCCATTCAAAAAATACAATGGTCGAACTGTACACAGGTAAAAGTTGTTTGGATCTTAAGAGAAACATATAGACAAAGTATAGTTACATAGCCAATCTAATAAGTGTAAGACCCATGCAGTAAGATTGTAAAAATAAATCAAATTAGTGGATGCATAAAGAAGGTACTCACCATCCTGTGTCAGATCTTCAAATATAGTAATTATATCAGTCTTCAAATGAGCAGGTTCAATTGTAGCAGCAAATTTCCCCAGGTTCGTTGCAGCAGATCTCCTGACCATGGGCATGTCATCTTGACACAGTTGATTGTAAATTGCTCTTAGATCAGTCTTTAATGCCTCCGAGGCACTTGGATAAGCAATATGAAACAAACCACAGGAGGAAACTCGAGCTGTAAACCATTCTCCAGCAGCTAGTCTCTAGAGGTTCAAGATTGCACCATTCCAAAGAAAAAGGTCATTGTTATTTTAAAGATAAGATCACGTCACATACAGATGAATGTCAACAGAGATAGAAAACACATGGAAGCCAGATAAAATCACAGAAACATATGCATTTACTCAAGGACTGCTTCCAATTCCCTTTGTTCCTGTGGGACAGATTGGTTTTTTTGGCGTCCCCTCGGGTTAAGGCTCACTGTTTTACCAGCAGATCTCTTCAGCTATTTAGAAAGGGATTGAGCAGATATTCTTACATTAACTTTGCTTGTCTTCTACACTTAATTTTCCTTTCTTCCTAATAATGCTATTTCTTTTATCCAATAAGAAGCTTTTACAGCAAAATGGAAAAAGGAAACAACTGAAGCACACTGGAGAGTATCAGAGTCGGATATCAAAGAATAGTGTTTGTGTTACAGGATCACATATTGCAAGAGAATGGCTTGGTTGCACATGAATGGTTGAAACCTCCCTCTCTTTAAGACTATTACTTACAACTAAAACTTCCCCCTTTAAATCTTTTTTTTTTTTACTTCTTTTTGTTAAAAGAAGTTTTTCTTATTTGTAACGCAATCATGAAAGCTTTAAAACTCAATTCTAGATTCTATCAAAAGCCTTCTAAGCACCAATTTCACTTGTTTGTGCAAATACTTATAGTTCCTAAAATTTACTCGGAAACAGTAAAACGTGACAGATTATTCTCTACATAGAGAATACTTTATTTACCAGTAAATTCACATGAGCACCACTAAACTACAAAAGTTTCATACACCATATGAAAAAGAAGTATCAAGTCCTATGGAAGAGAACAAAATTGAATGTCAAGAAAACATAAAAAGCCAACAATGATGATCGAATTTGATAGCCAACCTTCACTAGTGGAATAAAATACTCAACCAAATCTTGCTCCCTCATTTGTGCTCCAATTCTACATAATGACTCTACAGCTTTGTCCCTCACGCAAGTTTCCTCAACAGTGCATAGTGTCTCCAATGGGGGAAGTAGCACGTTAGCAAACTCCACTCCTCCAACATAGGGAATAAACACCCCCAGTTCTTCAGCCATTGCAAGAAGAACTTCATCATCGTCATCATTGTTCTCACTTAGAAAAGGAATCAGCTCCTTTCGGGTTCTCTCCTCGCCTAGTGCACGGGCAATAGTCGATAATCGTCTGATCGAGTTCAAACGAAGCTGAATGTCTTCATTCTTGAGCTCATCAATTAGAACTGCTATTGGGTACAAAGGCTCATCAATGGACGCCATCTTGCCTCACAAGATCCGGAGCTGCAGTGTAGAAACAAATTCGTAACAACTCAACCCTAAATAAATTATCCATCATGCAATGCATATATGAACACCACGTTTATTATTGCTATGAATAGTAGAGAAACTCAAGTTGATCGCTGAAAATGAAATCGACCTTTGAAATCTTATTACGTTAATTTCTAACAGCATAAATCCAAAAAAGAAAATCAAGTGCATAAAACTCAGAACATAGGTATAAGTTACGTTCTAAACCCAGCTGCCTACTCTATCTCTCGAATACATCAGCCACCAAACATAGAACAGAAGGAAAGAGTAGCTTCTTGCTCATTAATTATCATTGATTCAATCATATTCATATAATCACACGCTTAATCATAAAAATTCTCGGAGGCAAATCATTAGAAAATTAAATCCAAGAAAAAGAAACTGAAAACTAAACCGACTTGCAGTAAGATCTTGAAGTTTTACAGACCGGCAAATTCACTGATTTCCACTAGAAAATATAAAGATCCGGATTGAAAGAAGAAAGTAGCCATGAAATTGCTTCTCGGAATATCAAAAACCAGAAAATAAGAGGTAGGGCAAGACGAAGCGGAGTTACAGAGAGAAATTAAAGAGGGAGTAGGTTCACCTTGAGGCTTGAAGGAAATGGAGTTTGTCTCGGTCGTTCTGACGAGATGAAGTGGTGAAAATGGAGATGGAGAGAGGGACGGGGATCTAAAGATCGGAGATCTAGTTTACAACACGATTCTCTTCTCGTTTAGGTCGATGTTGTTTCCCATAATTTTGTAATTAAAAATAAGAATAATAGTTAATTAATTATTACCGAAAAAATAACAGTTAATTATTATTTTGCATAATATGAAGATATAAAATAATGTAAGATTTTTAATTGCAAGTCAGTTCAGAGTTCAATCGAATTTAATTATTTTGTAATTCTTTTTTTAATATGTAATAGTATAAATTTTATAATTGAAATTTTTATATATATAAAATAAAATTAGTTCACTTATATATTAAATATATAAATTATAAATTAAATTTTTATATATACATAAAAATTGAATATAATATAAAAATCAAAGTTTTAGAATTATAAGCTTTACCAGAAAGTAGGCTTAACTAATTTTTAAAACTAAAAATTAACTTAATTGCTAAATTTAATATCAAATTTAATATACATATTTTTGAACTAAACACCCGGTTGTAGTAAAAAAAAAATATAAGAACTAATTTTTAAAATAAATTTAACCAAAAATACGAAATAAATTTTTCTTTAATTAAATTTATTTTCACAGTTTTTGACATATGGTACAGAAACAACTGGCCCTCAACATTGATGTAAGACATATGGTTATGAAGGAACCAGAGTCTTTGCTGGGCTACCCTAATCCTGCTGAGAGACTAACCTAAATTAAAATTCAAAATCCCAAAATTGGAACATCATAAGCACTGGCACACCAATATATATATATATGTATACATATGTGTGTAAAATACTGCAAAATGCTGTAAAATTCCTCATATACGGTGTTGGAAGAGTTCAGCATAATCATTCGCAATTTTACCACCCATTTACAGTTTATAATAATCATTTTCTGTTAAAAAGAAAGTAAGAGAAACTGAAATCCTTATCCAACATGATCAATCCCAAGATCAAAATAGCCATTCAGAAATTAAATTCAACCAATACATTTAACCCAACATAATCTGCAGAATGATTACTTGAACTAATCTGCAGAATGAATTAATAATATCTTTCAGTTACGGCAGAAAAATATCCAAAAACATCTGCTCCATTTCCAACTTCTCCAGTTGTATTTCTTGCTTCTCTGATATTTTATACTCCATTCTCATGTCACATTCAATCACAAAAACCTGCTTCACCAATTCTGGAATCAACTCACTCCAACAATCAGATTCAGACCCTTAAAAAATAGGCCGTCTAACAAGTTATGTCCATTACAGCAACGAGTATTCCCTATATCTGGAACTGGCACTAAACTGGGTTCCGCCTTGTTTACACCAACTATATGAACTCTAATGATTAGGCTCTACGACCAACATTAATATTTTACCAGTCAAATCTATCTGCGTATAATCTGTAACTAGAAATTCTCAAATAATTTCAAGACTTAAAAAACCTATGCAATCTAGTCCAAAACCCAATCGGTCCTTGTGCTGCTGCTGGTAGCTCGGGAGGTTCCTTAAAATTTGCTCTCTCGCTCAACTCTTCAAATGAATCAACAAGATTTTGCAGCCTCGCCACAAATTCAATCAGAAGTGATGTAAAAGTTGCTAGAGACAATGCACTTGCACTTTCATATGTCTTGGATTCTTCTAATTGTGGCAATGCATCAGCATTGAAAGAAACTCGTGCTGGCCATGATATCTGTTTCTTGAATTTTTCTTGAGTAGATGTTTCTGTAGGGAAGGTTGATTTTAGACCAGCACCAAGGTTATTATTATCCCAACTCTTTGGTATAACAACTGTTCTGAGATCTAGTATAGCTTCACTACGGGACTTGTGTTCGAGCACTTTTTCTCTGTTATCATCCAAGTCCATGAAGCCTTGGGGTTCTGGACGGTTTCCAATTTCCCAGCACTCTGAATTGACAAGTAGGTATGATTTCCGATCAACCTTGCTTTGCAACTCCTCGGCTGCTTCATGCACCTCATAGAGTATGTCTACTGGGCCTAATTTCTCCATCTTCTTAACTTTATTCCCAAGTTCACGTAACACTTTAGCACCTTCAGCTCCTACCCTTTGCAGCTCATCACGAAAAACCTGTCTTTTATCTTCTGGAGCCTGCACATGTCAATGTTAAGAATTAACTCACCCACAAAAAACCAATGGTTATATATGAAACTAATACTGAACAAGACCATAAGTGAATCATACACTTCTCTGCAGGAAACATGACTGCTAATAAAACACACTATTTTCAAATACAAGCTTTAACTGGTATGTAATAAGATTTTCTGGTCTCATTTGTTAAATTCATGTTATTTATCAAAGCGTGCATTGATGTTTGGGAGTAATTAGGTAGAAACAAAAATTATTTTTTAGATAATATTAAAAACAACATTTTAAAACTTTCAAATTCAGTCCTCATTTTCAGTGGCATTTTTTTCATTGATAACCAACATAATGCTTAAATACATGAAGATGTAGGAAATGATAACTAGCAGATATTGTTGTAACAAATTGGACCCAGTTTTCTAGCTACATATGCATGTCAAGGAGATATTTAAGTTAACTTCGAACCTGGGAAAACTCTGCAGAACAGCACCCAAAAAAATGGGAAAGATTCACACAACATATACGAATTGGCCACGTTTTTTAATTTGGTTTTTCTAAAAAAAATGAGAATTGTCAAAGAGATATGTAAAAGAAATATGTAAAAGAAATATTATCAGAATATAAACAAACATAAAAGAAAACGGAAAAACATAAGTTGTCAATTCATAAAATATTTAACCATTTCCAATCGAGCAGTATAGCATAGTTGCTGAATTAGATCATCTTGATTGCCTATATGATGTAAATTGACATAGTCTTGGTTCTATTGGCACCAGATGCACATCTTGAAAATTAGCCATTTCAAAAGTGGACGCAGACCTACATTGGGAGGTCGGGTTTCTGCAGAAAGGGCTACAAGTCCCATATACCATGAAGAAGAAGGAAAAAAGATATCTAAGATGGAAAGCTAACCATATTAAAAGGGGAAGATGAACAAAGTGAAAACCTGTATCTCAGAAAGAATGCATCCGTGTAATGCCATGACCATGAATGCACAATGCCTCAGTGCACCACTAACTTTGACATAATTCTTCCACGGATATCTGAAAGATCTGTAAGGACCATGAGGTGGTTCCCAAATTGCAAAACCCATCTTCACATTGGAGAGAAAAAGAAAGAAGAATTTGAGTACAGCATCATATCCTTGAATAGTTAGAGAAGCAACATAATGGCAATATATAAACTACCAGAGCATCCTCTTGGCTAGTGGATTCTACAGCTGATCTGTAACCATTGTAGACAAGATCATCAGATGCTTGGTATGTTAGAATTTTGGATGGGATCCTCTCGTACTCAACACACTTTAGGTAACCATCAACACAACCTACATAGAAGCTCAATAATTAGTTAGGCATGATAATCAAGACTGAAAAACCAACAGTTCTTAAAAGTTTAATTTTGCTAATTCAAGGATCTCTATGATTTTAACTAAACAAATAAAATAGAAATTCTGCGTGTTAACCTTCTAAAGAAGTTGCCACACTCATGAAATTTTTTGCGACCAAGTTATGCAGATCCTCTCCAGCCCATATGGGATAAATGAATATGTTAACACCCAAACATATACCAGCACCCAGTACAATAAGCAGGAACCTTGATATGGCTATATGGATAAATTCCCCAGTCCTGTAGCCAGATACTGTTATGTAACAATACGTCAGCAAGAACACTCGAAATCCATATTCGTAGGGCTTCATTGTCGGGTACAGTTTGACATAAGTTGCAGAAAATCCTGAGAGCCACATCACATCTCAGAAGAAAAGAAATTGTAATGGCTACTAATCAAACCAGATCACCAGCATACCAAAATGAAGTAATAGTAAGTGCCAAACCAGACCTATGATGAAGATATTAAAGATAATCACAGCTTCTTCATATTTTCCAGCCAATGTTGACAACTCTGCCATGCACAGGGCAAGTCCTCCGGCTGAAAATGTTCCCAGCCCACGGTTAAATCCTTTGCTGAGAGTTGCTCCTGAAGAAAGATGTGACCCACTAAATATAAGGGAAAGAACTATATAGTTCACTAAGATGGGAACAAATAGGAAGTGGCTAATAAATGCCTCTGAGAAACAAAATTCTGAAGTCTATGCATCCAGGTCATATTCTATCAACATTACTGAATTACTATAAAATGTAAAAAGTTACCACAGAGACGGTATAAATACTTCCTCAGAAATAAATGAGTAAGATGACAAGAAATAAAGATAAGAATTGAGAAAAGGACCACCAAGAGCTACAACCAGAATCAAGCAATCCAAGATGACCGAAACTCAGCCAGTATGATTTGGAAATGCAATAAAGAGGAAGTTCTAATTACTTTTCTTGACCTCAAACATTAACCAAAAAAAGTAAGAAACTACAATTGGTAATATGTGTGAAAAAATTAATTAAGCTTAATGAATTACAGGATGGTCTCTAAATGCCTCGAAATCCATTAAAGTAGCAGAAAAATTCAAACCAATTCTGGGAACCACTTTTGTAATATAGCCCATATGATTCAGTACCTTACCATATCCAACAGCCTCAATCACAAATATAAAAAACTAAATAACCCCACCTTTAAACTTGGAGCTAAATAACAAACCCATGTACTCATTTGAAAAGCTACAAAACAAAATCGATACAGAAATTAACAAAAAAAAAAGAGTGAACAACAACAGAACTAAGAGTATTATAGACATGTATTCATTTGAAGGTACGCATAATTACAACCCAGATCAGAAAATCAATAAATAATACCAAACAAAAAGCAAGATTTGTCCAAAACCATCTTACCAATGCTGAACTCAAAAACGACAACGACGGTAAGAATAGCCCAAACAGAGTACCGGCTCATCTCTTTCGGAGATTCTTTCCAGAAGATCACCAACGAAACGAGCACCAAAGCCAAACCCATTTTAGCGGAAAACATAATCTTTCTCGGATCAGAAATACCCATATGCCATGCGTTAGTGGCGACATCTTGCACGTTCCTTAAGAAGCTCGTAATCTTATCAGAAATGAAACGATACGAGCAGCAACGAACCGGGTCGTCTTCTTCGCTTGAATCGATATCTGCAAATCTTAGTTCTGAGTAGCCCTTTACAGAGAGCAACCTTTCTCGCTTCTCTAACAGGCTATGCCTGAAAGAACCCATTCTGACAGCCATCGAACTACCAAGTTTTTTGGAAAGGTGGGGGAAAGACCAGACGATTTCAAATGGAGGAAAATCAGAGTGGGGAATGAAATCCTGTTTACATTATTTGGTAGATTTAGGAAAGAGATGACATTTACTTGTATGGTTCTTGATAATTGGTGCGCGCTTAAAGTAGAGTGCAGAATCCCAGAACTGGCAGGAAGATAGATTCTCTGCAAGCATGAAACGACGTCGTTGGACTGCAATATCAGGAGATTTGATGGCATGGGCAGAGGTAATGTATGGGTTATCATTGGGTGTTCAAGAATATGTTCAGAGTTCAG